CCTAAGGAGAAATGACAACTAAAAATATGTGGTATTCTGGATAGGATCCAGGAGTAGAAAAAGGGCATTACGTAAAAAAAAGGAAATTTGAATAAAGTAGACTTTAGTTAATGACAATGTGTCAATGCTGGTTCATTAACTACAACAAATGTACCATACTAATAAGATGCTCCGGGGTACGGAGTATATGGGAATCCTCTATAATATCTTCTCAGTTTCTTTGTAAATCAAAAACTGTTCTAAAAAATGAAGTCTACTAAAAAAAAAAGTCAAAAGGGAGAACACAGAAAAAAGAAAAGCTTTATATGTTAGTACCTTTAATAGCACTTTTTTCCTTGCTTTTTGAACAAAGGGCTTTGCATTGTCATTTTACACTGGGCCCCGCAAATTATGTAGCCTACACTGCCTCTGTCCCTACCTCTGTCAGCCAGACTTCAGATTAGTGTTGTTTTGGACCCTTTTGAGAGTCCCTGAGGCCAAGAGTGAGTAAGGCTCTGAGTATGCTGGGGCCCAGGAGGGAAGAGTTCTGTGCTCTGAACTCATCTGGATTCTGGGAAAGGCAGCAGCAGCCAGTCTGGAGAAGCCCCCACTCAGGCCAAATGGTGTTCCTAAGAGAAGCCCCTTCTCACCTCACCGCGGTGGGCAGTGTGGAGTCAGAGCATCCTAGAGCTGCAAGGGACCTCGTTCACCACAGCCCCTGACCCCACCTTTTAGGGAGAAGGAGGAGGACACAAAGAGAGGCATGGAGAGGAGTAGAAGGCTCCCAGCCTCTAGAGCCCTCCAGCCAGTGACAGCCTGAGTCCTGCCCAGCCCAGAGCCAGGTACTGCCTCCCTTCAGCCAAGGTCTGGACCAGCCTTCCCTGTCCCTGAGTGTTTCCCAGAAGCCTGAGTTGCCACCCCACCTTTCTTCAGAGTCCCTTGCTTGTTTCTCTGGGCATATGCAGGGTGTGTGTGTATTTGTGTGTGTGTATGTATGTGTGTGTGTGTGTCTGTCTGTCTAGGCTCAGTTAGGATGAGGCCAGAAGCAGAAAAGAGGGGCTCTTGTCATTGCATTTCCCACTTGGCTATTTCCCCCAGGGTGGGGTTGGGGGAGGTGAGCCTGAGAGCCCCAGGCTGGACAGAGCCTGCTGCAGTCCCAGGCAGCAAGTCTTGAGACCAAAGTACTGCCATGGGTGTCATTAGGAAAGAATGCAGAGGCAGTAGCAGCAGGGGCAACCTCTGGGCTGGAGAGGGCAGAACCCCGCGACTCCAAGTCCAGACAGACGGGCCCTGCAAAGGGAAACCAGACCTCCATGGGGTCTGGGGGGCGGTGCTGGAGAGGCGCTCAGAGGGCAGGGGGACTCTGTATCTGCCACAGAAGTACAGCCTCACCAGGGAGCAGGAATCCCTGAACCAGAAACCCACCCTGGGCTTCCTCAGATCCCCCAGAGAAAGGCCACACCCCTGAAGACTGTTGTCATGGCAGCAGCTGCCAGGGCTGACTGCCTTCCCCTTTTCCTGTATGGCTGCCCTGCCTGCCTTCTGGGACCTTCGGCTCCTGTTCCCTGACATTCCCTTTGTACCAAATGGTTGTCACCGTGGCAGAACCCCCTTCACCTTATGATCTCTTGAGAGCCCTTTCTCTCAAGGGAATCTCAAATCAGCTATTGTCAGGGAGAGACTTAGAGCCAATACGAAGATATTGTCTTCATTCCTTCTTTCAGGTTCTAGTTCCTCATACCTCCCTTGTCTGACCCCCATGTTTACCAAGTGCTCATCAAGGGTTAATTTATACTGGTTTGGGAGCTTTCAGAGGCAACTATGTCTTCTATCAGCAGCAGCAGAAGGTAATTCCACCCTGAGAAAGGAAAGGAGGGGAGCTGGCCTGGCAGAGCGTACTCCTGGCTGCCACACCCAAAGGGAAAAGGAATTTTTTCATTTGGAGTCAGAGCTCTTTGCTGAAGATCTCCTCTAGATCTTTCCTGAGCTTGCTGAATTTATCATCCCATTTAGTACTAATGGTGTGATGTAAATTAATATTTTGTAGCTAATGTACTGAATGACAGAATCTGAATACAAAGAATGAGGGAGTGAATCTAACTGACAACATTTAACCCAGAAAAATACAAGCTTCTGCACTTGGGTTAAAAGTAAACTGATTTACAGAAGTGCATTAACAGGGGTTTGGGGATCTCAGTTGACTGCAACTTAAAGTGGATTCAACTGTGTTATATGGCATCCACAAAATCTACTAAGATCTTAGGATGCATCTGTAGATGTATCGTGGCTATTCTAGAATGAAGGGTGTGGTAAGATCACTCCATGCTACACCAGGAAGAATATCCAGTATTTTCAGACATTTACAAATTCAGGAGCATGTAGGATGGTGAGTGACTTTGAACAAATATATCACGTCAGAAGGAGCTGAAACAACTGGGGAGGTTAAACCTAAAAAAAACAGTCTTGGTGAGAACATAACTGTTGAAGGATTAAATGAGATAGTATATGAGATAGTGCTTAGTGCAATGCCTGGCACACGGGCTCAATTAATGTTAATAATAAAAGAATGATAATTAGTAGTATTATCAGTACTGTCATACTATTATTATTGTTACTAGCACTACTCCAGGTCCTTTACACATACTGACTCATTTATTCTTCTTACCAATCCTATGAGGTAGGTACTATTTTGTCTCCAATTTTGCAGATGGGAAGTAGAGTCACAGAAAGGTCAAGTATATTGCCCAGTGTATCTTACAGGTGGGCAGGGGAAAGAACAAGAACATTAACTTTGGCAGTGTCAGGTTGTCAAGGGTAAAAGGCACTTTTGTTATTTTACACTTGTTTTGTAACACTCCAGAGGGCAGAACCAGGACCAGTGTGCATAAACTACAAGGAGGCAGATTTCGGCTCAAAGGGGGAAAAAAAGCACTGAATGATTAGAACTGTCTGAAATTTCACTGGAGTATCTCTTAAGGTAGTGAGTCCTCCATCACAGGATGTGAGGAAAAAAAGGATAAAAATGAAGAATGAATAAATGGGGCTCCTCTCGGAAAGAAACCATACAAATGATGAAGCCAACCCTTGGTGAAAAGAATAAAGAAGGTAGAGTGAAACTTGGTTTAAAAGACACATATCATTGAAAAATTGAAAGGTAAAACAGTTATGGAAAATATATAAAGGTGAACTAATATCTATCTGTCTTGCTGCTATCTCAACACAAAGTAAACTAGATGTTGGAGAAAAGTGACAAAAAGCTCTTAAAATGGGAAATTCCACATATGAATTTCTGTTTGGAAACTTACTAGACAGCCCAGGATCCTCACAGATCTGATGGTCACCTACCCTGAAAGTGTAAATTATAAGGAGAGGTATAGTCTGCTCTCTGGAAGAAAGGCCATCTGCATGATAAAGTAGCATCCAGGCTGATGTGAGATGCAGGCATGAAGTCGAAGATCATAAAACACCATTAGATCCAAAAGTACATGCTTGTAATAACAACTGTGTTAGCATGATTTTAATCCTGCTACTTTGTGTGTGCTCCAAAGAATTATTACATAGTTTAATATGAATGTCCTCTGTGCTGAATCTATCTTTTTGGGTATAGCAGTCCCAGGACCCAAATATTTGCACATTTAATGAATTGATATAAATTTCGTCAACCAGCAACACCAGTAGGTTGCTGGTTAAAGATTTAGACCCCCAGCAAAATCTATTTCTTCTATTATAAATAATAATTACTCAATAGTATATATATGGTATATATGTAATATAAATACATACATACATATATATATATATATATAATAATGCCATGCTCTCCACCAAAAGTGCTCCCATTTCAGATAGTAAATAAGTTTTCAAACTATTTGTACATAGATGCACAAATGTGTATTTTGATTTATGAAAATCAAAGTACTCAGTCTTTTTAGATTTATGTATTGATACTTCACAAACTTTACTCTTTCTAGAGCTCTAGAACTGAATGATTACCAATTTAGGCTGGAGCTTTTCTACTTGTGATTTAGGTCTGGAGACTCAAGAAAAAATCCTTAAGTCATGGAAAAGTGAAAGTTTATCTCCCATGAAAGTGACAAGAGATGAAAACCATGTTGATAGAGCCTAAACGGACATGATGGAGTTATGGATGTGGATTAAACCTGGAAGAGGTGGCATATGATAGTGACTCATTAAGGAGAAACAGTCAAATTTCAGTACAGGATCTGAACTGTAGGGGAAATAATGGGCCTTGGTAGCTGATGACAGGAGAATGAGGGAGAGAGGTGTTATCAGGGGAAGAGGCAGAGAGGAAGAGGCAATAACCCTCAAGACTGGATGCTGACCGCCTCTAGTAACCAGGAAAAGGCAAATATAAACAGAGAGGTGAGTGACGACGATGTATGGTGTGTTAGGGGGTCAGGAAATATCGGCTGGTTGCGGCAGCACCGCCGCCGGTCAAAGTGGTAACTGGGGATCTGAGCTTGGCGGTGACGCGCGGCCATCACGTGACCAGAGCCTGTGTCTGCCCAAGTCCCTCTCGTCGTGGTCCTTTTTCCCTGTCCAGACACCATCTTCCTATTGCCCTTTGGTCGAGGGGAAAAACAGAAGGAAGTAAGTCCCCTCCGCCCTCTTAAATCGGTGTAAGTGTCGGTGCTGCCCAGTAACCCCTGGGATTGGGATGGCACAGAGTTCAGGCCTTCCCCTGTGCCCCGCCCCGCCCCGCTCCCGCGCCCATATTTCGGTGCAGAAAATGGTGGTCTAGGGGGTGGGGTGGGGAGGTGAGTGGGCCCCCCCCCCACGGGAAGGAAACACGGACACTTAGAAACAGCTTCTAAGTAGTCCTTCGCTTTCACTTCCCGCCTGGAAACAAATGGCGAGCATTGCGGGGTTGGCGGGGGTCAGGGGGAGAACGAAGCTTTGAGATGGGGCGAGGGGGAGGGGAACACGGGGTGAGGCAGCTGGTGCCTGTAAAAGGGACGTGTGAGTCAGTCCCTCCCTCATCCCCGCTCCCCGCCCCCTACCCTGTCTTGTCCGTCTGCAGCTCCGCAGGTCACAGCGGGGCACCTGGAGGAGAGGATGCCTAGGAGCCAGCCGCCGGGAGAGGTCCAGGTCGGGGTATGGTTGGGCAGCGGGCCGGGATGGGGTGAGAGGGAGGGCGCTTGAGGGAGCCGGGTCCGCGGCACTGCCAGCCCGCCCCGCCCCGGCCCCAGCGGGAGAGGCCTCTGTGGCAAGGCCTGCCGGGAAAATGGTGGGCTTTCGGAAGGAGAGGGGGACAAGGTGTGGGGAGGCCGGGGGGGGAACGACCAGACGCGCGGGGTCCCGGGGGCCGAAGAGACCCTCGGCCAGCGTAGGTTGGAGTACCCGGGCCCAGACTCGGGAAGAGGCAGGTATTGGAACCCATGGGCGGGGTTTTGGTCCAGACAGCGAGTATTCTGACTCGCCTTTGCCTTTCCTGTCTCCTGTGAATAACCGTGCTTAAAAAAGACCATCCTGAACATGGAAAAAGCCTGCCAAGAGCCTGAGGAGCAGCCACAGAGCTCGCCCAAGGCGGAGGAGGAGCGGCCTCCTGTGGAACACTCTCCCGAAAAGTCGTCTCCGGAGGAGCCGTCTTCGGAGGAGCAATCCTCGGAGGAGGAGTTCTTTCCTGAGGAACTCCTTCCTGAGCTCCTTCCTGAGATGCTCGTGTCCGAGGAGCGCCCTCCTCAGGAACGCCTGTCTAGGAAGGACCTTTTTGAGGAGCGCCCTCCCATGGAGCAGCCTCCTTGCGGAGTGGGCAAACATAAGCTAGAAGAGGGAAGCTTTAAAGAAAGGCTGGCTCGCTCCCGCCCGCAATTTAGAGGGGACATACACGGCAGAAATTTAAGCAATGAGGAGATGATAAAGGTAGCAGAGGAGATGGAAGAGATGAAGCGAGTACGAAACAAATTGATGATCATGCATTGGAAGGCAAGGCGGAACCGTCCTTATCCTATTTAATGTGTTCGGCCTTTAATTCTGTTTTGCCTGGTATGAGTATTATCACCTGACCTTTGTTTGCTTTTTCTCATATACCTTACCCCGTCTTCCTAATCTTAACTTTGCGTCGCTTTATTTGAGGTGTTTCGCTTGTAACTGGCATAAAATTGCCCCCCCATCTGCAAGTCCCCCTCTTTCAATCATAAGTCTTCTCCATTTGCATGGAAAAGATGTACATTATATATTGTGAAGTGAAAAAAGCAATTTTCAGAAAGTATATGTAGTATCCCCTTTTTGTAAAAAATGTATATTTATATATTAATATGAAAAGAAAAAACTGAAAGTATATACTTTAAAGGCTTAACAGTGGCTATCTGTGGTAAGATAACAGGTGACTTGTTTGTTTTTCATTTTTGCTGCATCTGAATTTCTCATTTTTTCAAGATGAACACATTTTACATGTGTTGCAAAAAACCCCAATATAATAGAAAAATTGTAAAGCAATTTAAAAATAATGTCAATCAGCTTATAAAGATAATGTGGCACTTAATAAATACTTGACAGAACTTAAATCCCATGTTTTTTTCTGAATCTCTTAGGCAGAGATGTAAACCAGGTACTGTACTCATATTTGTTTAAGGGTCATTCTTTTCCCATTTAAATAGGAATAGGAGAATTTACAGGGCTGCTGCGGAACCAAATGAGGTAAAGGTCATGTGAGCTGTACTTTTTCCCCCTACTTGCACATGCTGGACCCCATCCCCTATAGATTCCCTTCAGATACTGGGGATAGTACCCAAAGGAGGTCTCGTTTGCACTCACAAATCCTGTGCAATTCCAGGTGAGTGCCACATGCTATTCCTGTCCTGCTATTCTCTTCCCTTAGATACCACCATGTCTGCTGGGTACCGCTGCCCCTTCTCCTGGGTCCTGCTCCTTTCATGGCCCCCATCACAGCTGAGGTGCCAGAGTCCTCAAGGTGCAAAGCTTTACTGATTGCTCTGGAGTCCCCGCTGGGCCAAAGCTGAACTGTGTCTCTTAACAGATATATGAAGGATGCCCCTCCTCTAGCTTTAATATTACACCTGTCCAGGTGGATACCATCCCAGTACTGCTTAGACCTCTATGTCTTAAAGAATTCTTAGCAGAATAGTCTTTCCTATTTATTTTTTTCCCAAAAGCCTCCCCTTTTCTCCATTGAGCGCAAACATGAGTTCACTGGGACCTGGGCTCGGAGATGAATATGTGAGCCAGACACAATGCTTTGTGCTCAGAATTGGAACCCCCTCCCAAATAATCTCCAAGGATAACTATGGTTTTAATTGCCCAACATTTGCTTAGGGTGAGTTCTCTCCCAGGGGCTTTTGGCAGGCTTGCCTTACCAATTCATCTGACTTACTCAATATGTATAAGTTAAAGAGGAAATTAAGACCTAAGCTCAGGGACTTCCCTGGTGGTCCGCTGGGTAAGACCCCTTGCTCCCAATGCAGGGGGCCTGGGTTTGAACCGTGGCTGGGGAACTAGATCCCGCACATATGCCAAAACTAAAGATCCCGCGTGCGGCACCTAACACAGGTGTTTATTTTGGCGCAGCCAAAATAAACAAATATTTTAAAAAAAGACAAGCTCAAACTAGGACATTTCCCTTCTGCCCCACCCCACATCAACAAGAAACATGCAAAAGTCATTAAAGCGCTATGTGTGTGTGTGTGTGTGTGTGTGTGTCTGTATCAGGTGTTATGATTTCTGTTAAACTCCTTTTTAAAAATCTAAGATTTGTAAGTAATTAAAGTACTAATATATATGCATATACATATATATGTGTCTGTATCAGATATTATGATTTCTAAGATTTTGTTTTATTGATCATGTTAATTCTAGAAACACAGATAGTGGCTAATAATTTTTGAATTATGACCCAGTCCTGAACCCAGCCTGTCTGATGGACTATGTTAGCTTCAGTGTGTTCACATCTCTAGAAAGCGTGAATTGCAATTCCAAAGGGATCACGTTAGGGGTGAATTTCCCCAAATTCAACATTAAAATTATTCAAACATTTCAGTTATCAGTGTTTCTCCTATAAAGTAAGCAGAGACCTGGGCTCTACCCCAGACCCACTAAATCTGCTTTTCTGTATATGAGCACACAAGGTGGAGAGACACTGCTATCTATATACAATATACTCCTGGTTTTAGTAAGAATAAACTATGACATAAATAGAAGAAAGTACAGATGATTATATCAGAATTAGAGAGGTGAAAGGCTTGTCCAACCATATATTTAAATAAGGAATTAGAAACAACTTCATCAACTTTACTACATAAAATTTAGATTTTTTTTGCAACAAAGCAAGACCATACACAGAATAAAAACCTAAGAGAGATGACAAAACAGCAAGATGTATTTTCTATGGTTGACATTATGTAATGCCTTGCATTGCTTCCTTACAATATGAGTAAGGTACATCAGAAATAAATTCAAAGTTCTCCTTTGGTAATCAGATCTCAAAATGGTAAGCCAGTCCTGTGCCCTTAATTTTGCTTTTGCTTTAATTTTTTCACTGTGTGATGCCATTAGGGGGGATCTTCATGTCTCCAGACCATTCCTCAAGGTTATGGTAGCCTGATGGATGCTGATTGGGTTGGATTCTGGCTGGAGTGAGTTGAGGGTCCAGCAACTCACTTGCCAGCTGTATAGGATGGAATGAATCCAGCCCCCTGACACTGAGGGGTGGTGCTGGGGCAGGATGTGGAAAGGCTCCCCCAAGCCACACTCCTCTCCAGGGTCGTCTGACATTGGTTTCTCTGCACCAGCTTGCAGCAGGCACCAGACTCTTCTAGGCTAAAGGCCAGGCTGTCCTGGACATACACACCAGGAGGACAACAACTGTCCCATTGCAGGTCAGAGCACTTTGCTTCTCTTTCCTTTTCCCTGTCTCTTTTGGGGAACCTTTTATAGGGGAGGAGATAAAGCCCAAGGATTCCCAAGTGGAAACATTGGTCTGAACAGTCTTTGAGCAAACAGATGTCTGACCTGGCTGGGCCTGACCAGGTAACTTGGGGCTGAAGCAGAAGGGGCTGGCCCTTCTGTCAGAGTCCAGTGAAGTAGCCCCCTTGAAATGGGGTTAGACCTCAGACACGACCTCACGCATCCCTCTCCCACTCACGTTGCTCAGATTCCCAGAAGGGCCTCAGATGTGCCCTGGCCTGTTTGGGTGGTTCTGTGGTGACTTTAGGTGTGTGTGTGCCTGGTGCGGCGCTTCTGATGCCTGCGTCAGCCCAGGCCCAGAGGCACGGGAGCCCCCAGGTAAAGGGAGCTTCAAAGGCATGTGGTCTCACAGCTCAGGAGAAAAGGGGTGGCACCTCCTGTGTGAACACCCCTATGCACTGCAGGCCTAGCTCACGACTTGGAGGTCAGGGTAGTCAGACTGTGGATTGGTATGAAGATGTTTTGGAGGCATTGATGTTGGAGGGTCAGCAACATCCAAAGCCTGGTTCTCTGGCCCCCTCACCACTTCCCTGCCCGCACAGAAGGCTGATATCCCCATCACGTGTCCAAGAAGCTACTTGCCTGGCCAACTCCAGAGCAGAAAGCGTTGAGGGTCCAGGACCCTGGATAGAGCTGTCTGCTAAGCAGGATGCCCAAGCCCTTGGGAGACAGTGCCTGGGAGTGGGAGCCCCTCTGGTGAGGCAGGGTAGAGGGATTGGGTCCAGGGTCCTTGCAAAATGCCCAGAGACTCCTCCCTCTCCCATTCAGAAATATAAACTCAATTATTTTTACAAATGAAGAAGATTATACAGATAAATAAGAAGTAGACCCTGTGTTCTAACTCAGATTTGTCTGAATCAAGTTCTGTGTTCTGCCCACTGTGCCACACTGCCTCCAATTTAGATTGTAGCTTTCTGGGGCTTAGGGAATAATTGATTTAGACTTGCTAAGTATGGTATCCTTGTTGGTTTGTGCATTTGGGTGAGCTTCCACACTATTATCTTTTTCCAGGTGGAACCATCCAGTAGGCAGTTAGATATGTGTCTAGAATTCGGAAAAGAGATTGGCATGGAAATACGGATTTTGGTTGGTGCTACCTGGTGCATAGTAAGCAAGAATCCAATTGTATATCCTTCTGTCCTTTCCTATAAATATATATTTTTCAAACAGAAGTGCGATTCTACTGAATTCACTGAATCATAGTCTGTGTGTAGAAAATGAACTTTTTCTTTAGACCTCTGCCAGGATAATACGTTTTGAAGAGTATTTAGAAACTAGAGGTAAGCGCGCCATCTGGTGGCCTTAGCCGG